GGGGGGGGGGGGGGCGCCTCTTATAGACAGGCATCTGGGGTTCTCAGAGAGCTAGGGGGGCTGTGGGGCCCCAGGCAGCCCCAGAGAGGGAGCCGCACAGTGCTAGGTTAGGGGTGGGAAGGTGAAAGAGGGAGCAAGAAAGGGAGAGGGCTGGAGGAACATGACACTTGGATCCCTAGTTAAACAAACACGCAGTCTTCCCTGTGATGTCAGCATCGCTGCAGAAAAAGTCAAGTGCTCTATTGCTGTAGGTGTGTGACCACGAGCCCTGCCCCCATCAACCAGCGTCACCCCTCCACCGCCTCCTGTCCCCCCACTGGATCAGGTATAAATAGCAGGTGCCCAGTGACAATACTGAGGAACAAAAGGGTGACCCTCCCCCTCTGCCACTGTGGAGAAAAGGAGGGGGTGTCCCGAAGAGCTGGAGAGACTTGGGGGGAGCGGGGGGCATAAGGGGAGCAGAGGGAGAGAAGGGAAGAGCAGAGGGTAAGCTCTGGCAGGGGGTGGGGCAGCATCTGGGGCAGGGGGTCCTGCAGAGCGGAGGAGCTGGGGCAGGGGAGCAAAGGGCAGATGGACTCTGAGGGGAGGCCACAGGCTGGAGCAGACCCGTCCCGAGCTTCTCCACGATTCCCCTCCGACGAGCTCCTGCAGAAGCAAGCCCATTGGAACCTCCTCCCATCCTATTTCTGACTAGGTCTGTCAACATCACCAGATACTGTGGGCAGAGATGGGCTCGGGCATGGTGCCCGAGAGAACGTGCCGAAGGGCTTGGAACGGTGCCTGGCAATAAATCCTGGCTATCAGTATTACTAGTATTACTCCAGAGGACGCTCTATGTCACTTGGCCACCTCGGGCAGGTCACTCTGCCTTTCTTGGCTTTCCTTTCCTGTCTGCCCTACAGCGCGACCCATGCCCATACCGTCCACGGGACAGGCGAGGGGAAAGCGGAATGTCTTTTCAGGTGAGGGGGTTTGTCCGGGCCTGGAGGTGATCCTGTCGTGTGGCCCAGACTGTCTTCCTCCCTCAGCCTTGCCCGGAGTGTGCTGGGGGGAGGTGTTCTTTGACGTACATGTACCAGGCACGGGAGCAGCCCTGCCTTGGCCAACCCCCCCCCCCCACCGTGTCCTTATCACGGGTCCCTGCCTGGCCGACCACTGTGTTCTGGGGAGAGGAAAGGTCACTTTGAGGTTTTCCTTTGCTCTGGCTGCTGCTTGCCTCCCTGCCTCATCCAGGGTGGGACACAGGGAAAGGGCAGCCTCTGGGTGGGTGTGAGCTAGAGATGGGACAAGCTGTGTCTCAGCTGGAGAGGTCTATGCACCCCCCAGGCATTTTTAGATCCTCCTCTTCTTTGTACCATCCCTGTGTTTCTTGGGCAAATATCCCACCACCTCCTTACCCCAATCTAATTTCCTCCTCAGCGATGTGAGGGGAAGATGAGGTGTCCCTAAGGCGTTTTCCCACTCTGGTTGTTCTAGAGACTGTATCTGTGTAGGGGAAGGATTCAATGCTACCACCCCCCAAATCCCCACTGTGTGTCGCTAAGGCCGCTCTCCCTGCCTCTCTACTTTTCCTGCTGGGGACCGGTGGTCGGGCGCTGGGCTGAGGAAACAATCTCCAGCAAGGGCATTGAGGCTAGACTTTGAAAAGCACTTTCCATCACTGAGACCTGGACAAGGTCAGGGGACCCCTGGGACAGACACTTGAGGTTACACTCCTAGGAGTCTTTAAGGAGACCAGGGCTCGTCTCACTTGGAAGCAGAGGCCTAGACAAGGAAGTGGGTGAAGGGCCCGGCTGCTCTGGTTTGAGGAATCCTGGTTAAAGCCCAGAGAAGCATCGAGTGAAGTCCAGGTCCCCGTGAGCAGGTGGTCCTGCAGCTTCCGTCTTCCAAGTAGTGACCTCTCACTTGGAAGCAGAGGCCTAGACAAGGAAGTGGGTGAAGGGCCCGGCTGCTCTGGTTTGAGGAATCCTGGTTAAAGCCCAGAGAAGCATTGAGTGAAGTCCAGGTCCCCGTGAGCAGGTGGTCCTGCAGCTTCCGTCTTCCAAGTAGTGACCCCTCCGCTTCCGGAGCTGGGTCGGCGTTGAGCCGGTGCCCTGTCCCCTCACTGGTGATCGAACTCTGGTTGTTTAGCATAGTTTAACACACCCCCACTGAATACTGATCATGCGCCCATCTCCAGAAAGACGCTGGACGCTAAGGGGTAAAGAGTCATCTGTGCCCCCAGGGTTTCATACAAGTGAGCCTCAGAGCAGTGGACTGGCTCTGGGAAGGCCGGGGAAGGCCATTGTGGTGGTGGAGGTGGTCCTGGCATGTGCTGGTCTCCACGCTGCCCAAGCAGGTCTTTGCCACGTTCTGAATGCCAGAGGTGGGAGAAGGGATTGTGGGGCTCTGGGAGAGGGTCGTCTGTGTGAGTATGGCCAGGCAGGGGAAACCTCTCTCAGTCTGCCCTACGTGGGGATGGGTGGGAGGGTGGGCTTATGTCGTGAGCCTCAGAGCAGTGGACTGGCTCTGGGAAGGCCGGGGAAGGCCATTGCGGTGGTGGAGGTGGTCCTGGCATGTGCTGGTCTCCACGCTGCCCAAGCAGGTCTTTGCCACGTTCTGAATGCCAGAGGTGGGAGAAGGGATTGTGGGGCTCTGGGAGAGGGTCGTCTGTGTGAGTATGGCCAGGCAGGGGAAACCTCTCTCAGTCTGCCCTACGTGGGGATGGGTGGGAGGGTGGGCTTATGTCACTCCAGGGGGCCCTTAAAGCTGGTCTTCCTTCTGGTGCTCAGACCCAGTGGGGCCAAGTGTAAGTGGGAAGTTGATGCTAGAATGATAAAAGATTTGCTGGGGGTCTCTGGGCTGATTTTGAGGAATGGGGGCACTTCCTGAGGGTGGCTGGGGACCCCTCAGAGCTGCAGGATGTGGGGTTTGGAGGCTGGGAGCCCTTGGACTGGCTCCTCATCCACTGTCCTGGCCCAAACCCTTCTGTGTTGAAGTGTTCTCCTGGGAGTCAGGTCACCTGAGTCCTGCTCCCACCTGCCCATCTGCCTGATAGAACTGGTTCCTCACCCACCCTTCTACCTCTTCCAACTTGTCAGGATTAGTGGGGACGAACGGAATTCTGTGCAGTCAGTGCTAAATTCCCTGAGCTGGTGGAGAAGTGAATGAGTGAAGGAGGACGTCCGGGGGGCAGGAGGAGGGGAGACAGCCTCACAGAACAGGCCGGTGAGCCAAGCATTAAGAGCTTTTGGCTTCCAAGACTTGAGAAGAAAGGGGAGAGGTGCAACCAGCAGCTTCAAAGGCTGGCACCCTGAGGAAGGTCCAACATTTTCCTTTCCCTGGAAGGAAGGCCTTGTAAGGAGGTGGCTGCTTTGCCTCACTCTGCTTTGGGGGCTGGCAGATGTCCTCCACCACAGCCTCCATCCTCCACGCCCCTCACATAGGCTCAGCCTGGCAGCCGAGGTCCTTATATGGAAGTGAGGGCCCAGCGGGCTCCTCAGAAGGGAAGGGCTGGGGGCTGCTCCCAGACTCAGGGGCAGAGCGTCCTTCCCGCTGGTGCTCAGTCAGGTTGGCAGACAGCCCACCCCGTGACCCGTGGCTTCCTGTCATCCCTCTTTCAAGACCCCTGGTGCCCACCCTCTACCAGGGAGGACCCCCAACCTCAGCCCAGTGGGGTGGGCCGGGCTGGGTGGGGCTTACCAGTGGGCGAGCGGAGCCGTCTGGGCAGGGCTGCAGGTGTGTCTGGGGAGCGGGCAGCGAAAGGTGTTCCCAAGGTGTGCGAAAGGGCTCTGCTCAAATAATCCAGGGAGGCGTTTATAAATAACTTTACCTCAGGGCCGTGGGGTGAGCCCCGGCTTCTGATTGGCTTGGAGGGGAAGTGGTTTTGAACACTACACCATAGCTAAGCCTGAGGAGATAGGAAAAGGAGATAAGGGGGAAAAGGTCCCAAATGAACAGCCCTTTTTTTGTTTTACCTGGGGAGCAGGGCTGTTTGATGGGAGCTTGGCACTTCCTAAATCCACCCCGAAGACAATAGGTCACATTCAGCGGGGCTCCTGCTCCACAGGCTCCCCCAAGGCGGCCAGCCGAGGAGGGGGACAAGGCAGACTCCTCTCCAAGCTGGCTGTCCTGCTGCTTATGGGACTGGGGGCCGAGCCAAATAGCCTCTCGGACAATGGGAGCCATTGAGGCCACCCGAGGGGTGGGGTCCTGTGACTTCTTCCTTTGAAGGTTGAAATCTGGGGGGTGGGAGGACAGTGGACCTCCGAACACTTCTGGAGAAGGGGACAAGCCATGTCTGGGAGGCCCTGAGGACACTTGGGAGGTTTAGGGGTGAGGTGGAGACCTGGTTCCCAGTTCTGTTCCCGACCTTAAGTCACTCGTGAGCTCTGTGCCTTGGTCACTACATCAGTGTAATGGGGAAAGTATTCCTGGCCCCCCTAACTTCCCAGGGATAGTACAAAGAGGACATGAGGGTTTGGGATCTGGTAAAGGAGCTCAAGGAACTGGACTTAACGACAATTATATGAAAGGAGACCAGAGGCTAGCAAATCTACGATCCTCAGTCCTCTGTCACCTGGGTCATGGCACTGCCCAGGCTGTTGCCTGCCTTCTGGGTCAGAACTGCCCATCCCATGCCCATGAAACACTGTGGGAGCATCTCAGAAAGCAGTTCTGCGGTGGGGAGAGGGAGTTTCTTGACATATCTCCTGGGAGGGAGACCCTACCTGATGCCAGGGGCCCTTTCATCAGGACATCTGAGGCTGCACTGAATCTCCCTCCCATTTCTCCAAAAGAAAACACAGGCTCTGAAGTGGGCTGGAATCAGCACAGCAGACTTCACTAAGGCACCCCTGGAAGTTGGGGTAAAAGTTCCCCTGGGAAGGAGAAATGAGCTAGCTTCAGTACATGGTAGGGACTCAATAAATATTTGTTGAATGAATAAAAGAATGAATTGTCTGCAAGCCCAACCGAAGGGATAGTGTGTAGATGCAGTGCTTGTAGGGACGAGGGGACCACCTGGGGTCACTCAGAGTTGTCAGGGTGTGGCCAGACAACTGGCTGAAGAAAGCTGGAAGGCAAGTGGCCCAGCATGCCCTGTGCCCAGCTGAGCGAAGGCTGTGTGTGCAGACACGGCTTCTGGGAGCCCGTCCCCAGGCCCCTGCAGGTGTCTAGCTGCTGCCACACGTTCATTCCAGTAGCTACCTCTGCTTGTCATCGTTAACACCAATCACAGCGATTGGTAATTATGCGTTCAATTGTCAGTCTTTCTCCAAAGACAGTGAAGTCCATGGGGAGGGAGGGCAGGCAGTGCCTGTCTTGTTCACTTTTGTGTCCCTACCACCTAGCCCAATGCCTGGCACTTAGGAGGAGCTCAATATAGATTTGTGGACTGGGTGAATGATTGTATGATGGAGTCTTTAAACAAAGCAGAGCCAGAGTCCAGAATTTGTCTGCATGTCTCCAGCATTGTTTAGAGCTGTGGGTAGACTGACCTATTCTAAACTTTGGTCAGGAAATTCCTAGAAAGCAGATGAGTCATCAGGCTCTTCCTATAGCCAGGTGACGGTGGCCATCAAGATCAAGCAAGTAGGTCCTCTTGCTGAGCCACCCTGCCCACAAGGTACTAATCTCGTTGTGCATCCTTCAGCGCAGAGAACGCACTGCCCAGCTGGATGGAGCATTCCGGTCCCTCCGCAGGTGATCTTCTTCTCTTTTAAATGAGAAGAACATTCTGGGTTACCAGTTGGTCTAGTGTGAGTTTTATTAGCATGAGTGATTCTCCCCTGAGTCCGACCTACCTTCCATAGTATGACTTGGCTTTCACACAGGTTATCCGGTTAAATTCTCATACCAGTCTTATGAGGTAGGCACGTTACTCTTCTTTTTTGGATGAGTAAACTGAGGTTGACTGAAGTGAAGTAACTTGCCCAAGGTCACAAAGTTCTGGATGGAAGAGACAAGAATCTAACTTCAAATCCTCCACCTAGTCCATTAACATCACTTTAATATTTGAACCTGCAAAGCTAAGCATGAGACCCTATGGAAGAGCACACGTTTTAAACACCTTCAGCTTCCCTTTCAGGTATAACTTTCAAAGTAACCTGACGAAGATGGCTGGGCCTCCAGAATAAGTGCCAGAGTTGGCAACTTGTTGGCTCTCCACCCCAACTCTTCTACTGTCTTGGCAAAATTCTGCACAGGCAGGCCTGACAGAAGAGGGGCAGGAGGGATAGGTGAGCCAGAGCTTTCTGTGAAGTCACCAAGGGAGATGGACAGGGGCCTCAGAATCTGGGGACTGGTCATAGATCAGAGGCCCAGGAAGCCAGACCAGAAGTTGGGGAAGCAGAGGACAGAAGGGAGAGTGGCCCTGATGGCTGAAAAGGTCACCTTAGGGATATCTTGGGTAGAATTAAACTGTGGGACAGAGGTAGGACTGGTGGAGAGAACACAAAGAGACGGAGAGACAGATGGCAGAAATAGAAGCACAGAGGAAAGGAGGTAGAGGCAGAGACTCGGAGATCAAGAGAAAGGAGCAAAGAATGCATTAACACCCAAAGCAGCCCTGTCGTGAGTTTTGTTAAATCGTTTTCTCGTTTTCATGAGGAAAGCAGGCGAACATCAACCGTTCACCTCTCTCTGGAGCAGCATACACTCTCCTTCAGAAGAAACCCACTCTGCCTCTACCCCTACGGTCGAAAGCTATAATTTTTCATTCATTTAAGTACTTAAATCCCCTTACTGAGTGCCAGGATTCTATCCTGGAAATACTGAGATAAGAAAGACACAATCCCTGTCCTGAAAAGATCTCACCATCTGGTGGGGAAGACGGGGAGGTGAAGAGACCATTGTAGGAAAACATGGGATGCTATGGGAGTATGGGGAGATGCACCCAGCCTGGACACCTGAGCTATAAACCCAGTAGAGGGCACTCCCAGGAGGAAATAGGATGGGGGCTTCCTCTGCAAACACTATTTCTAGAAGAGCTTCCCAGCTCCCACCCGCTCCCAAATTCATCCAAGGTTCTCTGCCTTAAACCCATCTCTGTGTTCCCCTCTGACCCAGAGCTCGGTCATCCTCCCCAGACCCTATTCTTCAACACATCACATCACACTGCATGTACACACACACCACACACACACACACACACTCTGTCTGTCTGTCTGTCTGTCTATCTATCTATCTATCTATCTATCTATCTATCTATCTATCTATCTATCTATCTATCTATCTATCTATCTATCTATCTATCTATCTATCTATCTATCTATCTATCTATCTATCTATCTATCTATCTATCTATCTATCTATCTATCTATCTATCTATCTATCTATCTATCTATCTATCTATCTATCTATCTATCTATCTATCTATCTATCTATCTATCTATCTATCTATCTATCTATCTATCTATCTATCTATCTATCTATCTATCTATCTATCTATCTATCTATCTATCTATCTATCTATCTATCTATCTATCTATCTATCTATCTATCTATCTATCTATCTATCTATCTATCTATCTATCTATCTATCTATCTATCTATCTATCTATCTATCTATCTCAAACCAAACAGGTTTTAGGGATTTACTGAGCTATGCAGATAAAACCAAAGTATTCACAAAGTACCCTCCTGCCATGTCTTACCTTTGAGCTGGTCCGGCTAAGGAATGGCTATTTTTCAGGTGAGCAAACTGAGGCTAGACCTGCAAGAAGGAGGCTAATTCTGTCACCTCTGTCCATCCTTGGGCCTCTGGCCTTATCTGCACCTGCTGGCTTCTTGTTCGTGTGCCCTGTGTGGGGCCTGTGCCAAGGGTGTGGGCAGGATCATGTTTTGGGCAGAGCAGCCCAGTGACTTAAGTAAACACCTCAAGGCTGCAGACAGAAGAGTCTTCACCACCCTGCCCTGCAGCGGCAGCATATGACTTGGCCCCATGGCTGCCAGTTTTCTGAATGCAAGGGAACTGGCTGGGCTGCAGAGATACCCAAGGACAGGCTCATCCTCACCTCCCTCCAGGGAAGCCCAGAGGCTCAGAGCCCTCTTAGGCTGTGAGCATCTTAGGTTGTTCAGGAGAACTGGGGTGGCAAGATGAGCAGGGTAATGCCAACCAGTGTTTGGTCTTTCAACACAGGGCATCTGAGCTTCTACCATGTGCCCGACAGTATGCTAGACACTGGGGATATAAGACCCCATGAGACCAGCCCTTGGGAGGTCCAGACCCTGACAAGAACAGACAGAGGGAGACTTCCCGGAATACACATGATGACAGAGCTGGGGACAGAGGTTTCGAGGGTCTGGACAACACCTGTCTAGAGAGGGTCAGGTTAGAGTTGGCCACGATTACCCTACACATCTGAGGCCAGAGGAAAGGAAGTGTCACAGGTCATACAATGGGGGGAAGAGGCAGGGACCTTAGAGTCCATCTGGTTCACTTCCCTCATTTTAAGATGAGTAACCTGAGGCCTCAGAGAGGGCCCCAGACCTGCCCAAGGTCATGGCAGAGCTGAGGAGACAGCTAAGGTTGGTGCCCCAGGACCCCAGCTTGTCCTTCTACCCTGTTCCTGGAGCACAAGCCAAACTCTCCCTCCACAGAAGGGGCAAGAAGTCATGTGGGGACCTCTCCCACTCCGCATGCTCAGTATCGCCCAGCCTTTTCACAGACACACAGTGCTATCCCGAGATGGGCATGCGCTGGCTGCAGGGTGTTTGCTCTGCTCTGCTGAGCTCTGGCAGACTTTGTTAAGGGAGAGGTTTGGGGTGGGGTCAGGGGGACAGGTC